CGGTTCTGACTCGGTTAGGCCACCCAAATGATCACACGTGACCCCGCGGCTACCCGGAGTCTACTCCCTAGAATGAGAGACGAGAAGGCATCCTTACAAGCATAGCCCCGAAGTAGTACTTTTGTCTAGTTGTGAGTTATTCAATTTTGCACAAATATTCATCTTGATTATATTAAATTCCTTAGGATCATTAAAATAATTGTAATAATCTCAGTCGCAAGGTATGCCAGGCGGGGTTTGGCGCCCTCCCGATCGGGGAAGGTGCGTGCATGGGCCTGCCGCCGCTTTCAACTTCTATAAAAGGGCCACTCCCTCCCCCTCAACTTCTGTCCCTCTCCACCGTCGCTCCTCCTTCCCAACATTCTTGCACCTTCTGCGCTCATCGTACGCACTTGGCCCCCTTCATACTGCATGACCCCGCCCAACGGATCCACCTGCTCGGCCTCACCGCAGCTGAGAACCCGCAGTGGCACATGAACGCTTTTGCAGAGCTACAACCTCAATTTACACCCTTTCCACCGAGCTCTTTGCGATGGCAACGAGCCCTTTGAGCATCTCTGGTCGTCTGGTCTTCGGATCGGTCAAGATGCGAGATCGAGCTGAGCTGCGTTCTGCTCGACCTGCCTCTCTGGCCCCCTTCCTCGTCGCTGCACACATCTGAAGCCTCTTGCGAATGTGGCATGCGCAATCTGCCTCGAGAGTGTCTTGCGCGACGACCTAGCCAATCGCAAAAATGCCTCGCGGTGACGTGGCAGGCCCTTGCGTAGACCGCCGCACTTCACCTTTTCCGACGTTGCGAGTTACAGGCACTGCAGCGATCTCTGCCTCAGTCTAGGATGATCTTTGAGAGAAGGGCCGATTTGAGATCGAAGCGGAAATTCCTCGAAGGCCGCCGCGACCGCGACATCCCTGTGTTGCAAATTGTTAGCGTTCACCTTCGTTTGGATGCGCTCATTGGGGAATACTACCGGGATTGCGGACAAATGGATACAGAGAGTGGTCAATCATTGGAGTCAAGCGGGCGGGGTCGTCTGACTTCAGATGCCGCTCCATCCGGCCTTTACATGATGGGTTGGTGATTGCTAAGCGATCGCCTTCACAACATGCACAGCCCGGATATAATTCCCATTTCTGGCAGCAGAGGGGCCAACCGCAGCGCTAAACGTTCAGCTGAGAGTGAGACTACGCTTTTGAGATCCCTCAAGCTGCAGCAGCCCAATCGCCAGAGTGCCTCGAAATACGACATGTCTTGCCTCTGTTTGACACAAGCGTCTGGTTGGTGGAATCAGGGTCAAGCTTGGGGCAGAAAATTCACTCCTGTCTGCAGAGCATGGAAAAGGAAGGGTGGTGACGCATGGAGCATGAAGGCCAGGGAAGCAAAGGAACTCGCGGATTCCAGCGAGTCCAGAGAGCGGAGCGACCGTCTGAATCTCTATATAAGCTCCTTCATTCCGCTCGAGAGACTCGATTTAAAGACCATTCTCCAAATCAGCGTCCTACTCTGTTCAGCATGGCTACCATGAACATGGACTGTGTTGAATTCTATAACCCCAATCCCGCATTGAAGATCCCACACGCTCAGCTGACAAGGTCGGTGTTAAACAAGCACCTACCGTCTCTACAACCCAACATATCACCACCTGGAGACGCAGAGTCAGCACAGAACGTTCAGGATAGCGACTCGTTAGATGACTCTCTTCCATCTCTTGATGAGTTGTTCCAGGCCTCCTGAAACGGAGGCACCCCTCAGATGCCACATCAGAACCAGGAGCCTCTCCATATCTCGAAGCGCCAACTGATCGACGAGAGCCGCCTGCAAACAAATCCCACAACTATGAACTCAGCCTATGTGCCAGGCAATACTCAAAGTAGGTTCCTTAGCTCGCTTTTGTATGCGCATACATTATACTAATTCCACGCAGCAGAGCCCCTAATCATCGAAGATGACAGCGACGATGAAAGCGACGACGAAGCTGAGGCTGGAGTTGCCTCGAGCGATCTCCTTGCCAGCATTGAGTACCGAGACGCGAGCGAGTGTGGACTAGCCACTCAAGATACTGCCTCGACCACTAGCAGCCTTTTTGGCCCGTCCACTCCTCGAGACTTGGATTACCTCAGTGCGGATTGTTTCTCCAAGGATGGACAACAACGCCCGTCTTTCGCAGAGCTGGACTCGAAATTCCCTATTCAGGTTCAACGACTTTCGCCAAATTGTTCTGAGCTAGCTGAGACATCGGATCAAGGTCAAATTCACCAGGGTGTTGAGAAGGCCATGGTCGACGAAATGAGGCCTTCTCCACTACGCGAGAGGGCTGGTGGATCGTGCGACTGTGGCAGCGTCTGCAATATCGAGGATGAACTACGACAAACTTTTGTCGAAGCGGGGAGATCGCCGCCTTCAAGCGCAGCTCACTCCCAATACAATCAGATGGACCAGGAAAGTCAAAATAATACAGACGTTCGAGGTATTTCGAGCGAAGAAGAACGATTGCAGGAAAAGACGATTGAACAGCAGCATTGCCAACAAAAAGAGCAAGAAGACAAAGACAAGGACCACATAGGGCGACCAGCGGTGAGGATAGGGGCCCAATTAGCTACTGCCAGCAAAGAAAGGAGAGCCTTCCGAACCAACGCGTGGAAGACGAGCCCATAGTTGTGACCCCTCTCCCACAAGACTGCGAACACAGCGTCAAACCATATCATAATCGTCAGTGTTTGCACCGACCACCCTACAGGTGGTCGGTGAAAGCGAGTTGAAGCCTACCAGATATCATAACTATGTAGAATCTAATACAACCACTATCTAAACAACTATACCAGCAATTGAGTGATTGAATCATATGATAAAATTAAACCTATTCCCAAATTTAAAACAACCCTGGGTCTAAATTTTCGTCCTCCCTGTCCGCAAATAGGTCTGTATCCAATCCACTGAATCTTATAAATCCTGTGTCTCGTCGTTGTCACAGCCTGTGATTCGTACCCCATCATTGAAATTAATTGAGTATTGGCTTCTTCTTGAAGCTCTGATTCCTGCGCAATTTTTTCTGGATCTGGAATTGGAATAAGTAAATCAGAAGGCACTGTCATACTGACATTCGTTGCACTCAGTTTGCTATCAAACTCAAGAGCAAACTTGGAAATCTCCTCCTCAAACCTACAAGTCACTATACATATTTTGGCTTATCACACCAACAACAAGAGCAATACTACTCAACGATTGCTACAACCATCTATGATTCATTACACGTCATCGCTCCTTAGTTACTGGGCCGATATTACCACATAGCATATCTCTACAACCCTCTATGATTCATTACATGACATCACTCATACTACCACATGACATATCTCTACCAACTAGAGGCCTAGGAGCATGATTTTATGACATAATTTGTCTATGACATAATTTGTCTATAGGGGTACTCTGACCTTGGACCTCCTTTTACTTCCTATAGGCTACGAACCTAAGAGATGGTTCTATGGGATTCTCTTACGTCGACTACAGTTACCAAGCCTGGTAAGTCATGGAAAGTCATGGAAAATGAGAGAACTACACTCCTTTAGCATAAATAGGATTGCCCTTTCCTTAAGAAAGGGCAAGCAGACAATACAGTAAATCGACTATCACATACTTCCACGTCTTTTCCAAGCTTCCAAGCATTCATCTTGTTACTCCTTGTTTCTGAAAAGTCAGTGAGGTGTTAACCTCTGACTTACCCCTGAGTTCCCAGACTCAACATTTGTTGCAACTTGTCTGAACCACTTCACTACATCACACACCTGATTGCTGCGTTGTGGAATAGTCTAAGCTACGACCCTTTGGCTCTGTTTTCTAAGACAGTGTGTTGTCTTAGTAAATTCATCCCTTCCTTGGGTGGCTAGATTCTCACATCTGGTGCACCCACCATTACAGGCACCTCCTCCTTCACCTTTAACATCTGGCTAACTTGCCGCTTTCTTGAAAGCTCTGCTTTACGGGCCTCAACTCCACGAATATGAAGCTCCTTTTTGACTTTATTAAGCACTACTCGTGCTTTGTATTTCGCCCTTCGCTCTTGAATTTCCTTGTCTTTTCTAGCCTTGTCATTAATCTTTTTCCATGCATCCTTAGCAGTTAATGGACCAGTATTTGCTTGAGCGACAGAGCGGCTTTTGAGCTTCGCCTTCTGTTGATTAGCTACTTTTGTAGATAATAAATCATACTGTAGAATAGCCAGTTCTCCTTGAACAAGTACATTTTCTGTACCACGTGCCCAAGAATCCCATTCTCGTGCTGAAGGACTAGACAAAAGACATGGTATTTTACTTTGCAAGTGCCGTAATTTGAGCTCAGAATGCACAAATTTTGTTGGAGTCTGTGGAATTTGTGGAGGATCAAGAGTGCGCTCACAAATCGTATAAACTTTCATTTTCTTGAGAGCTTCTTTAGAATTGATTGGCCACATTCCAGCTTCACGAAAGGACCTAATGATTGTCCCTTTCCTGAACGTCTGCTGGCGGATTTCGTTCAAATCCTGAAAGAATGAAGCTATATTATAATCAATATCAAGATTACGCATAGCATATTGAATTGCCTTCTTGTGCCAGTGTTTATAAGGTTGAAAAACACCAACATCAAGTGGCTGCATAATGTGCGTAAGATGCGAAGGAAGCGGATATGGATGGATATTCATTGAAGTTACCCGTATAACGAACTCTGGTGTTGTATGACTGATATGGCTGTCCATAAGTAGGACCTTTAGAGGTTTATCAGGCCCAGCTCCTGTATGAATGATAAAATGCTCCAAATATAGCATTGCGAGCTCGCTATTGGTATATCCTGAGTCTGAAAGTAATACAAGCTCATCGCCAGTCAATTTCTCATTATACCAAGATGCCATATGTTGTCGTCCTTGTACAATGATAATTGGTGGAAGCACTTGTCCAACAGCACAGATTGACTCAATCACGGTAATAGATTTGCGGTTTTCAGCCATTGGAACATACATCTTTAATAGTGTCAGTTTAATTGTATTAAGTTACAAGTACTGAATTATACATACTTCTGTAATAGATACAGGAACTATTACATCCTCCCCTGGTGCTACTCCAACACGAAAACCAGTCTCGTCAAAGTTATAAATATCCTGTGGCTGGGTATTGTGTTGAGTACACCATGCCAAATACACTCCAAACCAGTCTTGTACCGCAGAAATATCATGGGTCGTAACTCGGACTCGTGCAATTGGCTTCGTTTTGACAACTCGAAAGAGGATCGAAGAGCTCTTTATAAAGCTCTGAAACCAGCGCCATGAAGGTGCTGGTTTAGGCGGTATTTCCGCTGCCCGCAAGTGGCCAATTGCTGTAAAAACCATCGCTTTTGACGCCCCATAGCCCGCAAAATATGAATCCTCTACATATTTGTATATAGCCTTGATTTGTGCCTCTGAAAGTATCTTATTCTGGCCTCCGTAAATAGGGTTTGGTGCCTGGGCTTTGAGTTTCGCTCGTCGGAGGTTCGTATTGAGGGTCTTCGCATTTATATTGAATATTCGTGCAGCGGTTATAGGCTTTTCTGAAGGGTTGTCGCGGAGGAATTGGAGGGCATCATCCATTGTATTAGATTTCAAGTACGACGACGAATCAGTTTTGTCACAAGTGTATAGATGAAAGGGGAATATAATTTGTGTGTAAATCTCTTCTTCGGCTATGTACAAGACCCCTGGCGTGCTTCATCTCGCTTTCGGGCTTCAACTCGCTTTCGCCGACCACCTGTAGGGTGGTCGGTGCGAACACCGACGATTAAGGGCAATGAGGTTAATGAAGATGACGAGGACGAGGATGTGCGGCCTCCAAGACGGCGAAAGCGGCGCCGCTTGGATTCTGACGCGACTGAAACCGCCACGCGCGAGAAGGGCCACACGCGCTCATCCACTATGACCCAAGCCCAGACCTGCACTACTCGAGGTTCTACAGTTTCTCGAAGTTCACCAGACGATGCGGAGTCAATAGGCGCGGACTACCAAGAATACCCTTTGCAGGGCTTCCTCAAGTGTGTGAGGATCGGACGAGAGACGACTTACAACCTAGAGTTCAGGCTGCTAGATCTTCCTGATTCGTTCAGACCATCAATCGGTCTCCACATTTCAAATTCAACGTCTAGCGGGGAATCAGTTGGAGGGTCAGCTCGTCCACAGGTTTGCGCATCTCATGCAAAGAGGTCACCGTTAGCTCCGCAGAAACAGGGAAAGCGACCGCTTTTGCGAGAACAAATTGCGAGCAGATCTGGTAGGCAATCGACATATTCAGCAGCTGATGACGAACTGTTGATACAGCTGAAAGAGGATGACAAATTGCCATGGGACGAAATTGCAGAGTTCTTCCCAGGAAGGACCAAAGGGACGCTGCAAGTGCATTACTGCACAAAGCTGAAGAACCCCTCGCAGACGTCGAAATACAAGAAACACAAGGGAATATGCTCATCAGGGTTTTCATTTTCAATGGATTTAGTTGATCCACAGCTTCGAGATGCTCTTCCTTCCACACCATTTCTAGCAGCAACTGCCGACTCGACCAAGGGTGCTCACAGAAGCATACTATCAACTGGGAACAAAGAGCATACAGCAGTGCAGCCGCGTTGTAGCAGCCAAGGAGTGGAAAGCGATACAGATGAGATCTGCGAGGTTGAAGCGCTGCTTGCCAAGTCGACAGTACGTCGTAATGTGGTTTGGTACCTCGTGAAGTGGGAAGGTTTTGGTGATGATGAAAATACGTGGCAGAAACAGGACGATATCAGTTCGGATCTCGTTGAATCGAGATTTCTTCACTCATCCGGATGATAAGACATGGGCTTTTATCATGACGCCGCGCAGTGAAGCCAGGCCCCAAGACGCTAAAACTCAAATATTTGGAGAGGAATACAATACACTATAAGCTATTTCACTTCGTCCATATTACTTCGGAGAAGTTTCCTTAGTTTGGCAAAGTAGATAAGATCTAATAATGTTTTCTTACTAGGGTCAATACACTACGGGGGCTCATACCCGGTATATCTATCAGCTCGTACAACTACGATTTCCGTCTTGAAGACCGCGCTGTTAAACCTTGGCGTGGTACCGCGTTATTTGAGTACGACAAGGATAGTGACGGGAAGGGTAAACCCGATTGGCGTCTTTTCTATGAGAGATCGAGCAACACTGGCAATCTTTTGGGCCAAAATGTGGGCTAGGCTTGCTTGCGGTTGTGAGTAGCTCGCGGCTTTGGTATAGATGATTACCGAATGTGGGAAGAACAAAGGCTCGAAAGTAGGTAGGCATGATCGTCTCCAAAAAGAAAAGAAAAAGTTATGAGTCACCAACATTTCGTTGTCTAGGTCCATCTTGTTGCAAGTTGTGCTCGAGCATCTGACAGTGCTGGAGGAACGGTTCCTGCAAACTGGAAGGAATCTACATATTCCATAGGTGGATTGACTTTGCAACATTGCCTTCTGAATCTGCTGATACATGTTTGTCTCGAAATGACATATCAATATCCATACTCTTCTCTCCGAAGTGTATTCCATTCAGATATAGTCGGGTTTCCTTCTGCAACCGGGCGGCGGACATAGTAGGTGACGGGCGTTGTCCTGTTGTCGCCTTCACGGTTCAAGATTTCAGTACCGACCTCGAACTTGCCCCCATATTTTCTAGACTTTCCCTCCTCGAGAAAATGAACCAATCCAGTATACCCTTCCTCGCTCTTCTCAAACACGGTGTCAATATGGAGCTTGGTAACACTCGCCGACTCACTGATGCAGTAATCGATGACGGGTCGAAGAGTCCCTTTTTCTAGACTTACTACCTCAATGGATGCCTCCGCGACCCTCGACCGGTGAATAAAGTTAAGCAAGTCCATTTCTTTTACAGTGGCTCCCCGTATTCTGCATCGTCCCAAGACAGGCGGATTATCGAGTCCAGCCACATGCCGAAGTATGTCTTGACGTGGGAAGTTATCAAACAGGCGCCTCTTTGGCCACATAATCGATAAGTAATGTAGCTCAAAGTCATCAAGACGGGGACAGGCAGCAATTAAGTTCGCCAGACCGCTGAAGTTGCTCTCTTCGCGAGGTTCTGCCATGATCTCTGCGTCCCTCTGCGTTGGTTGTCGGTTGGCTTCTTCGTCTTCTGAACCACAATCGCTGAAATCTTCGTCTATCTCTTCATCTTCATCAAACGCAAATATTCTATCCGTGAGGCTTATTGACAGTGTCGTAAGCGCTGTCAATGAGTCAACGATGCCAGCATCTGTCCAGTCGAACATATTTAATTGATCGCAAGACAGGCTGCAATTCTGCATATCCCGCTCGTTGAAAAGATTCATTTGCCTGACTCGTAGTTTGCTTGCAGCTAATGCCCGAATGGCCGTATTGAAGCTGTTGACAGTACATTGCCATAAGCTCTTTAGTGGATAACCTCGGCCTGTACTTCGCGGCAGGTCCCTTTTGTTATTTCTCTTTACAACTGCAATCCGCAATGAAAATGATGGCAGAATCCCATCTTTGTTGTATTTCGCGAGTCCATCAAATGCTTGACTTGGTAGTTGAACTTCGTGTTCAGTTTGAGCACTGCAGTTGAATTTTCTTTCCCACGAGGGAATCGTGTAGATGCGCCGGAGAAAACGCCTGATTTGCCAAGGATGCGCTTCAAGGCACACCACTGGGCCCCATGGGGATTCTTGATGTTTTATCGTGGAAGCATTCCACCCTACTTGCTGTTCTGCGTGGCGGCGGGCCCGACAAGCTTTGTGATGTTTTTTCGACCGCCCCACCACAGCCAGCTCCAGGCGCTAAACACGACTCCTGATTGCTTCATTCCGGTGGAAGCGCCTTTAGAGAACTCGGCGCCTAACAATGCGCGTCCATATGCGATTGTGTCCAAGGTTGCGGTGCTTAATGGTTCTCTATAGTTACTGAGACGCTGGCTGATTGACGAGGCGAAAGGGTGCTCGTAACCGCTGTGGCGCTTCTCTGGTTGGTCATAATACGCCTCAAATGAATTTGGAAAGTGCTTTTTGATCAAAAGGTCAGGATAATTGCATTCTGCGGTGACCTTAGCTAGATGGCACTCAATACTGCGCTCAGGAGGGAAGAAAGACGAAAGAAGGGTGACCGAGAACAAATGGCTGCGTTCTATATGCTTTTTGCCAGTACTAGATACAGTTCTCACTGTAGTATATATCTCCCAATAAGCAAGTGATAATCACATACGACCATAGACTCAAGAGAACTGGGCATCCCGTCCGCTCTGCCATACATAACCTTGAGATCGGTGGATTAGTAGTTGGGTGGGTGACCACCAGCGAATACCCACTGTTGTATGTTTTTTGTCCTTTTATTTATTTACAGATTTATTTTGTCCTTGGTGTCCAAACCTCTCTTCACCGGCAGGTTCATGGCTTCATCTGTTACGTATCACGAAAAGTATCATAGTCATTCATTCAACACGGAGGAGCTGCATTGAATGTACTCCCCTAGAAGGATCCGACGATTACTTACAGAATGAAGACAGAACGTAAGGGTTACGGAATCTCTCGGAACGAACAATGTCACAAGGACCAGTTATTCAAGATATATATTTTTCTTCTCTAAGTTTAATCTTGTGCACCATCTCCACGTGATTCTTGAAAAGGATAATGTTGCCAAGAAGTAGCCCTTCGGCCTTGCAAACTGGATGCCTGCATTCAATCGTCCCTGTAGTATTCTTTTCCAAATGCCGCTCAACGTGGTCCATCATCTTGTCAGGTTTAGAGAAGGTGCGCATCCGTCTGTCGTAACTCTGTCGATCGTCGCCAATGCAGAATATGCACTGAGTGTTCTTGCACTTCACAGGAAATGTTTCAGGAACAGGTGATTCTTCCTTCACCTCGGGAGACCCTCCAAGAGGGGACCCCGAGGACGATTTGCTCAGCCGTGACTTATGACACTGGACTTCTTGGCGACGAGATAGTGCGACCATTGTGTCGATGGCATGAATCCGTCGTATGACGATATCACGTGCACTCAGATCCTTAGAAAGGTCGCACATGATTTCTTGAAGCTGGGCCCGTTCCGGCAGCTGGTGCTTGACGACAGGCTCAACATAAGTCGGTGTCACGACTTTGACCTTCTTAATGATCTTCTCAAGTTCTTCGTTGTGGATACGGTAGAAGTAGTCTCAGCGGTACTCCCTCTTGAGCTCTCGCTCAAACGTCTTGGTTACTGTGGCAATCTGTCGATTTAATTGACGATATTCTTCACCAGCTTCTGTGCCAATTGAACCCTGAACAAATGCGTGTCCATACAAACGCTTCAGCTCCAAGCGAAGCTCTTGCTGCTCAAGCTTCAGCTGCACCAGCTCTGGATTGGGCGGGAGGTCATCGCGAACGTCGTCCGGCACTGTCTGAGGCGCCCGGGGATCACAAGTGAGACTCATGTGCGTAAAGGCCCGGAGGAAGCCAGAATTGGTAGGCTGGTCTAGCACTGCATCTTGAACGATAAACCTGACTTTCTCATTGTTGTATGATCCGCAAAAGACGCCAGTCTGAGGATTGTGTCTTAGAATCTGGTCGCGAACTGCTGTCGTCGCAGCCCCTACACAATCGTCAGTTAAAGCAAGCTATGGTCCATGTGAAGTTTACCGTCAACAGCGTTTCCTGTGCCTCTGCGAAAACAGTAGCTCGTTAACTTCTGCTCAAAACCAGTCGCCCAGCCTAGACGATCAAGGTAGTAAGCGAAGGTCGAGTAGCGTAGAACCTTCCACTCCGATGTACGGAACAAATCGCACGAGCGCACCGCCTGACGAAATAGAGGCATTTTAAGCATCTCTGGCTTCCAGTGAATCAATACGGCTTTCGTAGGGTGCTGCAGATTACTTGTAAACAAAGGCTCTGCGTGCGACGAGCCTTCAACCTCAATTGCACCATCCTTTATTGCGATAGCCAAGACATGGCTGATAGGGCAGAGTATGGGAAGAGCTTCTTCATGAAAGAGGAAAGTCGTGCTACAGTCGAAGTTAGTTGGGACAAGGCAGAGGCATAGTGGAAGGAGATACGGTTTCGGTTTCCTATCAGCACCTTTGTGATGGGAGAATGTGATCTCCATTCCTAGGAGGTCTCGTTCTCCCTGTGTGGGGTTCCGAACAATCCAGAGACGGATATCCTCGTAGCACAAACTCTTATATTCCCGTTCCACGGTGTCCGGGTCAAAGTAATCATCGTCATATTCAGTATCGTTTTTATTTTCCCATGGCTCTCGCCCTTGATAATTCGGCTCATCTAATCCGTCTCCCTCATCTACACAACCATCTTCATCCATGTCATTATCGGCATCCCAGACTTCTGTGTGTGGACGTTTGCGAGAGGTAGTCTTTCCGCCTGCACCCTTTGAGGCGTCAACCAGCTCAGCAGGTCGACAGCCTGTATAGATAGACAGGAGCATTATAGTTGCGAGCGTTAACCATTGGTCCTCAGTCGGAAAGATAGAAGTATCCCGAGCCCAGAGGTGAGTGAGGAGGAGAAAGATATCGTCTGCTCCCAACACTGGTTTGGCCTTCATCGTCCGTCTGAGTTTGAATTCGTCTGCCAAGGTCGTATCTAGATACTACAAGAATGGTGTCAGTGTCATGTCTTCCATAAGTTACATTAAATATAAAGCATACCTTAAACACCTCTTTTGCATCGTTTGTATCCATGTGATGCCCATTAACCCGATTATAGAGTTGTTTGAACTGCAGCAGATACTGGTGGACAGAGTTAAACGCCTTAACTTTATAATTCTCGCAGATGAAGCATAGGAACAACATGGTCGTCAGTTTATCGCATTGTTGAATAGCTCCTCACACGTCGTCCATACCCTGAAAAGCGCAGAACCTTATCTCGAGTAAGTGATAGGTGCCTTGAGGGGGACGTTGTCGACTTACTTGGACCACTTGCACCATATGCCTCAGAAATTCTCTTTCGTGGCTTCGGCATCCTTGGGTTTCTGAGATTTGGTGCTGAGCTCTCGTCCCATAACCCGGTAGTCCTCGGCGGTACGCTTAGGCTTCTTTGGCTGTTGAGCTTGTCTCGTCCGTTTGGTGACGAAGCTTTATCATGTTCTGCTTCAGAGTAGGCAGTTGCCGGTTGCCCATTCCTTTGGTGGGCATGATGGGCGACTCAGCGATAGACCTGGGATGATGAGATGAACGCAGAGCTCCGAATGCTGAGTCGCGGGGGCCTGCCTTCAGGAGACGAATACGTATAAGGCTGACTTGTTCGAGGGCCTGGTGGTGCTCGAAGTAGGCCGCGGGATAGCAAGGTATTTAAATAAGTGGCCAGTCCGAGCCACCAGGTGGCCCATCGTGTGGTGGCCCTCATGATCATGATGGGCAGTGGGTGGTACCTTGGGGTGAGCAGAAAAGAGAGAAACGGAAAGCAGAAAGCAGACCACAGGGACCAGGAACCAGGAACCGTTTGAAGGGTAACCGACATGGGGCTGTGATTCGACGTGTGATCACGTGCATTTGGGTTTGCGTGGAGGTAAAGGGTGCGTAAAGCAGCAACCGCGCCCTGCCAAATCCAGCAGCTCCGACCCCGAGAAGTGGCTTTATTCTATAAACTGTGAATTTTTGCAGTAAATTCATAAATTCATAAATTCATAAATTACCTTAAATTAACACACTATATTAAGACGGCTAATACAGTCACCGACCACTGCTATTAACCGAATCGCAAAACCACCCGCGAAGCCACCGAACGTAGATAATTAATTTGCTCGTAACATATGCAATTTTAGAGCGATAGATGTAAACATTGATCCATTGTAATTAGAATTGAAAGCTATACAAAATAAGCCCCTATAGTATATAGTATAAAAAATGAGTATTCTAGTATTTTGTATGCCACCCGTCTGCTTGAATGCATGCCTCAATTCTACTCGGCATACTCTTATACAATTTATCAAACAATGACTTGTCTAATGTGTCCCATGCTGCTTGCAAACATGATTCTAGACGCTGTCTTGCATGTTCTGAGTTTGGTTTATCCTTTGCAATTTCAGGGAACATCTCACACACCCGGGTTTTCAAGTGCCACCAAACGTGCTCAATTGGGTTGAGGTCAGGTGAGTAGGGCGGCCACCCATAGAGTGTAGTAATCATATGCTCCTCAAGAAAGTCTGTAACCATACCCGCAGTATGGATAGGAGCATTATCTTGCATAAATGAGTAGCTAGAGTCAAGACTCTCAAAAATAGGGAGGAGTTCTGCTTCTAGAACCTCAAGGTATGAGTTTGCAGTATATCCAAACTTCTTTGACTCAAAGTCATGGTCCATAAGGTATAAATTGCTCCGGCCTTCTGCCCAAAAGGCCCCCCAAACCATGATCTTCATGTTCTTCTTTGTACTGTAGGTTTGGATCATCTCCCGCTGCCACTTCTGAGCAGGTGTGCAGAAACACCACTCGCTCCTGTTACCCCGCTGTAACGCTGACTTCTAAACGATAGAAGACACAGAGGTTCTCTTGCGTAAAGGTTTACTTATCAGAGGAGGCAGGGGATCGGACACAAAGGCTTCAAGTAACACGTTACTAGTATATAACAAATACTGTATTGAGTTGAGCACGAAGCTCCTATCTAAGGAAATACTATCTACTTATATAGTGGCGTCGTGCCTAGTGGACTCCTGGGAACTCACTCGAGTCCTCGGAGTCCTGGACTCTTAGGACTCTTCTCATCATCCTGCGAGTCCGTCACGTGATACTTTCGGAACTACTATTCCTCGCTGCCCCTCCAGGTACCAGGGCCGGTCTCATGCAACCTCCCTCCTTCCTGTCCTGTAGTTGGCCAGCCTTCTTGTTCCGTCGTAACACTCGCTCCCTTCCCCTGGGCATTCGTCTCGAATCCTATAAGTACGTCCATGCCCCCGGGACTCTGCTGCTCCTCAGCGAGTCCTTCAACATGCAACATGCCTACTGACACTGCCCGCAAACTCCAGGAACGCAACGATCTTGTCCGTCGAATAAAGAACCATGGATACGAACTACCCGAAATGGATTCTTGCTCGAACTGCGTGAGGCGAAACATTACTTGCGTGTCGTCTCCAAATGATTCACGGCGGTGCGCCGAGTGCGTTCGTCGCAACTTGAAAGAAAAGTGTGACTGTATGGGTCCTGAGCATCCCGACTGGGTGAAGCTCGAACGGGAGGAGGATTGCCTGGATCGCGAAGAGGAAGAAACCCTTTCGAAGTTACTTCGTCTGCGGAAGCAGAAACGCCTCATCCGAACCCGTGGTAAAGATATGCTCCGGCGAGGTTTGAAAACCCTCGACGAGCTTGATGCGGCAGAGGAGGCCAAACGTGTGGCTGCTGAGAAGCGTGACGCTGTTGAGGCCGAGGAACAGGCAGTTAGCGCTGCCTCCTCGTCTGTGACCGGGACCCCCGCTTCCTCTGATCCACTGGCCTACTCCCCTGCATCTTGGGATCAATGGCTGGCGGATGGCGGCGTCGATATTCCTCCAGCAGTTCTTTGCTGATGTTCCTTGTTGGTTCCCACGAATTATCCGTAGGTTCGTAATTTTCCCATTTTATCAAAAACTCTTCTCGACGTCCTACTAACCTTCTGTCTAGGATCGCTTCGACCTCATATTCGATTATCTCATTCTCGGGTTGGAGTTCGGTGTCGGTCGCAATTGGGGTATTTCCTCTTGCTGGTTCCAGTAGTGAGACATGAAATACCGGGTGTAGTCTAGACTTCCTGGGTAGCTGCAGTCTGTAATTAACTGAGCTGACTTTGTTTAATATTTTGAATGGTCCCAATTTCTTGAAGTCCAACTTTGTGCTTGGTCGTTTCGTTTTGATATGTTTCCGGAGTAGGTATACTTTATCCCCCTCCTTGAAGGCAGGTTCCATACTGCGCTTCTTGTTTGCGTATGCGGCGGATCGTTCATTTAAGAATTGGATGTCCGTCGCAAGTTGTTCGTGGAACGATCTCAGTTGTTCCACCACGATCAGGGCTTGTTCAGCTTGTGATTCATCCGGTCTTGGTTGCCTATATGCTTCTGGCTGGTAGCCGTAATTGGCAAAGAACGGTGAGACTTTCGTTGCTTCTGTCATCGCGCTGTTATATGCAAACTGTGCGATGGGTAAGATCTGAACCCAGTTGTCCTGTTGATGATTGACATAGCTTCGCAGGTACTGTTCAAGGGTCTGATTTAATCTTTCTGTTTGGCCGTCTGTCTGGGGATGAAAAGCTGTTGACAGCTTATAATTTGTTCCCAGTAGCGCCATCAATGATTTCCAGAATTTCGAAGTAAAGAGCTTGTCTCTATCTGAGATGATTTCTTCTGGCATCCCATGATCGGCTAATATGACTCGAATGAAGGTATATGCGAGCGCCTCGGCGTCGCTAGCTTCTAGATATGGTATAAACTTCCCATATTTCGTGAGTCTTTCCGTGATGACGAGGATAGAGTCGTATTCTATTCCTGTTAACGGGTCCTTGGAGGGTGGAAGCTTGACGACGAAGTCCAAAGCTATTGATTTCCACGCTCCTTTTGGTACTGGTGTCGACTTGAGTTGTCCGTATGGCAGATGCCTATTGGATTTTGACTTGCTGCAAATGTCGCACTCTCTTACCACTGTCTCTACCTGCTTCCTCATACCTGGGAAGTAGTAGTGTCGAGTGATTCGTTCGAAGGTTTGTGTTACTCCCTGATGACCGTGTGCTGGTAACGAGTGTTGTTCTTGCACCAGCGGGCGTCTCATTTGACTTGGGACATACACTAACCCTTTGTATCGAATCAATCCTTGTTCGTCGATGGCGAAGTCGCCTTCGACTTTGGACAAGACTCGCTTGGCGCATTCGTCTGTTGCGTAAGCTTTCTTGAGTCTTTCCTTGAGTTCTGTATCTTCGATGACTGAGATCGTCGCTAGTAACTCATTGTACTGTATTCCTGCATCTGTTTTCTTCAGAATTGTTCTAGGTCTTTCTTCCTTTGGGCCGGCGTAGTCGGTCCGTCTGCTGAGAGCGTCTGCTCTTGCATTCTCGGAGCCCTTGCGATAGGTTATTGTGAAGTTGTAGGCTGCGAGGGTTTCTGCCCAGTGGACTTGTCTGTGGTTTAAAACCTTGGTCGTGGTGAAGTATATGAGGTTCTTGTGATCCGTCCATACCTGCACAGGGTAGGTGGGTCCCTCAAGATATACTCGCCACTGCTCAAAGGCAACGACAATAGCCAGTAGCTCCTTGTCGTGGATGTCGTAATTGAGTTCCGCGGGTGACAGTTTCCTAGAGTAGTACGCGATTGGTTTGAACTTACCGTCCTCGTCTGGTTGATTCAGACATGCTCCAATTGCGAAGTCAGAAGAGTCCGTTTCGAGGATGATCTTCTTTGCAGGGTCAAATGTAGCAAGGATAGGTGCTTCCGTGAACTTCGTCTTAAGTTCCTGGAAAGCAGCCTCTGCCTTGTCCATCCATTTGAATTCGAGATCCTTTCTGGTAAGCTCCGTGAGTGGTTGAGCTACCTTGGAATATCCCGAGATGAAGCTTCGGTAGAAGTTGGCGAAGCCTAGGAAGGCTTGCACTTCCTTGACCGTGGTCGGTGTTGGCCATTCCAACACTGCCGTTACTTTTGCTTGGTCCATCTTGATGCCGTGCGTTCCGATAATGTAACCCAAGAATTCGACTTGGTTTTTATGGAACTCGCACTTCTCTGGTTTGAGGAGTAAGCTGTACTCCTTTAGTTTCTTTAGGACGAGTTTGACATGCTTGACATGCTCCTCCTTGGTTGCTGAATACACCAGGACATCGTCTAAGTAGACAATGGTAAAGATGTCTAAGTATTCATGCAAAGCATCATTCATCAGTCATTGCATGGATGCGGGTGCGTTTGTTAGCCCAAAGGGCATGACTTGATACTCGAATAGGCCATAGCGGGTGCGGAATGCTGTTTTCCACTCTTCCCCAGCCTTGATTCGGATCAGGTTGTATGCTCCTCGCAGATCTAGCTTACTGAAGATCTTTGCTCCTTGAAATCTATCGTGTAGTTCGTTGATTAACGGCAGGGCATACCTGTCCTTGATTGTGATGTTGTTCAACGCTCGATAGTCCACACATAACCGTAGGGAGCCGTCTTTCTTTGGTACGAAAATCACCGGACTTCCTGCTGGTGATGTGGATGGTCTGATGAATCCTTTCGCTAGGTTATCATCGATGTACTCCTTAAGTACCTTCAGCTCCTTTTCCGATAGCTGATATATTGGTCCGAACGGTGGACTCTTGTCTTTCTCCAAAGGTATCTCGTGATCCCATGGTTGGTGCTTAGGAAGCGCCTCGTTCTTAGGGCCTTCCTGGAATAATTGCTCGTATTCCTTGTACTCCACCGGTATACTCGTCGGTGAGGATGCCTGGGCTAGGTCATCGAGCTCGGAGGTTGCACATAACTCCTTCCGGCCCTGGGAGGGTTTCTCCCGTTGTCGCGTGTCCGTCCGTTGTTCACACGCGCACTGGCTCATCACAACTTTCTCATTCCACCAGTCGATCTGGGGGTTGTGTTTCTTGAGCCATGGCACACCAGGGATGCACGCATGGTTGT